CCCATATTCTTCTCTTTTAACAATCGTTGATTTTATATTAATTTTTAAGAAAAAAACTAACGGGCTTTTAAATGGACTATTAGGCTCAGTAATGGTCACATAGATTTTGCCCAGATGGCCCAAGAGTAGGGGGTTTGGAAGATAAACCCTAAGTTTTGGGATTGAAGAGGTGCAAATGTACCATTTCCCCTTGTGATCTGTTTCGATGGCGACTCGGCTCAAGGAGATCGTGAAGAAGTACGGCAAAGTAGCACTCGGAGTCCATTTCTCCGTCTCCGGCGTCTCGATTAGCGGATTCTACATCGCTATCAAGAACAACGTCGATGTCGAATCGCTTTTGGAAAAGTACCAAATCCCTTGGTTCTCTTCAAAGGAAAAACCTAACCCTAGCCTCGATTTGAAACTGGAAGATGAAGTTCTGGTGGGTTCGAGCGAGAACAAGACGAAACAGCTTGCCAAATCTGCCGGAGGAGCTCTAGCTTTGGCGGTTCTGTGCAATAAGGCGCTTTTTCCGATTAGAGTCCCGATTACAATGGCCTTGACTCCTCCAATCGCTAGATTCCTCAGGCAGAGACAGATCCTCAAAACCGGCCAATGATTCTCTATCTCTCGCTATGTGTATTGATTCCATGTGTTTGGAAAAATTCGAATGTAATGCCTCTGGAGAAAAGCGGATAGTAAGAGAAATTGTTGATGATATGCTTATAATAAGTCTGAATCCAGAATTACCAATTGTCTCCATTATTCTTCTTCTTCACAAAATTTCTCTGTAATAAAAGATCTGGAGGTACTTGCACTGTTACACATCAACACAGAGACATACATACAAGGAGATATAAATCCGAAGGTTGCTAATTTTGGGGTCGATTCACCGACAAATAAAAGTAGCATTTTTTTTTCATATTATACCAAGACAAAATGCTTGTCCAAATGGGGGACATCTGATAGATAAGGAGATTAGTGGATGACTCTGTAAAGAAACAAGGAATCGAGGGATCATTTGGAAATTATCAAAAGTTAAAACATTGTTTAAAAGCCCAAGAGCTATTAATAATAAAGCCCGGCCCATAAAGAAATTGGAGTCATTCGATTTCGGAATCTGAAAGTTGATCATCGGAAGTTTTCATCAGTTTCGAGATCCGGAGATCTGTCAGGTCGTCGTGCGTGCGTGGTGGGAGAAGATGATCGTTTGCGTCTCCGTCGTCGGTCACCAGGTCTAGCCGCTGGCTTTTACTACATTCCGATTTCTGATCTGATCATAAACTTCATTGTTTCTGTTCTGACTTTGGATCCAAACAACAGAACAATCCGCTTTACATACAGAGCTTCACTGATGCAGACGATGCCCTCAAGCTCCACCACATCGTTCATTGCTCCCTCGATGTCATCGAAGAGAGAGGTCCTTTCTTTTGCTTTTGCTCATCTCTTTTTTTTTATTTTTTTCGTGGATGTTCAATTTCCCAAGAATTCAGAGTTTAGGGGTACAATTTGTGTTCTATAGGTATGGATATATAGAGTGTAATATCCTTTTAGGTGTTTGAAACATGTAAATCTGTTTTCTTCAGTGAACAATCCGAAAAAGTCTGGTACGACCTTGAACGAGGCATTTCTTGGACTGCTTTATCCCACAGTGAACTACAAAGTGTAAGCACTAAGCAGTGTCACACTACATTCACTCTCTCTCTCTGATGATGATACTCTTTTCATGGGTCTTTTATTCTTCTTCTTCTCTTGCAGGTATGGTTACTTGACTAATACCAAAGTCAAATTTATATTGGTCACAACTGATTTGGATGTTAGAGACACCGATGTGAGAAGTGTAAGTATCTAATTTTGATGCTAAAACTAAGTTTTCTTATGACCTGCCACACAGCATTTCAATGCTCTTCTACTTGTGTTTGTTAACGGGTAGAGTCCTTCGTAGCACTAATCTATGAAGAAGAGTTTCATTTTTTTGTATTGCCTTTGTTTTCTACAGTTCTTCAGGAAGTTCCATGCTGCTTACGTAGATGCAGTCTCAAACCCATTCCATGTCCCTGGGAAAAAGATAACGTCAAGAACCTTTGCACGAACTGTAAGCAACATCGTCGGATCATATGGTTTGAATTGAGCCTCCTAGTTGCTTTTTGTAGTTCAAAACTTGTGTTTACTGAGGTTGAGGAAATGTCATTTGTTTATCATCATTTGTTATTAATACCAATACTGGGATTGCTGCTGTAAGAAGAATTGTTGGTTTACATGAATGGAAATTGAAGTTTGGTCTTTTGATGAAAGATATGTTTGAGTAAATTGGGATCTTCCCAACTCAAACTCTCCTTACCTTCTCCCATAT